CCCCACCCCGGGGGGCAGTGCCACTGACTGAAGTGTCTTTAGGAGGGACATTTCTCGTTCAAGCGTAGTAGAATTGTAAATGGGCTGACTCATGTCACACTCATAACTGTGCCTGATCTACAACAGGGAAATGCTGCTTTTTCTTTCCTGATCCTCACTATTGTCATTTTTCCTCTACTTCTTTTGCATGTTTGTCACTCTCTTGTGACCTGCTATTTTGGGGTGCCTTGATAGTCGAAGCAGACCTTGTGCTGTTGAAGCTAGAGAGGTGAGCAGTCTAAGTCTTGATTCCCTGTAAAGACTTCTCTGTTAACACGCTCATATGCAGTTGCGAGCGCCGTAAAACCCTCTACTATAAAAAAAAAAATAATTAAAAAATGACAAGTCCGTTTCGACAGTCCCAAATAAGTCTTGCATCGTCATTATAAGTGACGTATTCGTATTTTTGCACTGTAATAATGACATGTCAGTTTTAACAACAGTCTCAAATAAATAATGACAATATATCGCCCCCCCCTCTCTCTCTCTCTCTCTCTCTCTCTCTCTCTCTCTCTCTCTCTCTCTCTCTCTCTCTCTCTCTCTCTCTCTCTCTCTCTCTCTCTCTCTCTCTCCCCCCCCCCCCCCCCCCGTCGTTCTCGCTGTCGCTCTCTTTGTTTCTCTCTGCTCTAGTGCTTCCAAAGATAAGGAGAATCTTATTTATAGTGTGACATAATTGACAAATTAGTGTGTATAGCCTGTACTTAGTTCCCCAAAGTCATTTTGACCAGTGACTGAAGTTTATTGCTCGTAAGTACCATAATTTTATGGTTAGGGTTTTATTATATGATTAAGTGGTGGGGCTGCAGTGCGTCTCCCGTCGGCGTGTATCTGAAAAATAGAACCATTTTCTACTTATAACGGAATCGAACGCACCACCGTATAGTGCTGATTTTGATACTTAACATTGTTTTGTTTTGTATTTATTGCCAAAATATTTAAGGTCCCCACCCAGTGATTAATAAACAACGGGATTGGGGGGGGGGGGTTGTGGGGTTTTTGTGGGGGGGGGGGGTTTGTTTGTTTTTTTAAGGATGAATCGAGAATTTTAGTTGTGGGTGGTTAGCAGATGCTCTGGTGTTTACTTTCCCTCTGTTGTTTCTGCCTTTCTTGCTTTTTTCCCCAACACTGAATGACTGTTGATGGGCTTCTTTTTACTCGGACAAACAAAACAAGCTAATTTTTTCAATGCAGTCATCGGGGAAAGAGAGGATTGGGGCTAGGGATGTGGTATGATAAGTGTGTCTTCAATGGCAGCACAC